CAGAGCAGGAGGGGAAGGCCCTCTATGAGGTGGATTGATTCAGTGACTGGGATAATCGGGATGGGAGTGTCAAAGACTGTGCAATTGGCAGAGGACAGAGCAGAGTTTAGGGCTGTTGTACACAGGGTCGCTATGAGTCGCAAGCGACTCGACGGCACATAACAACAACAATGATCCCAAGAACAACTGATCTCCATCTCAGAGTCTACTTTCTAATTAACTCATAACAATTGGTGGTGGTGGTGTTATGTGCTATCGAGTCACCTACAACTCATAGCAACCCTATGTACAATAGCCCTAAACCCTGCTCTGTCCTGTACCAATCCTATTGTCTCTTACAGACCTACCCCTATTACCGCAGTCGTGAATCAATCCATCTCATCGAGTGTCTTCCTCTTCTGCATTGTCCCTCCACCCTCTTAAGCATGACATCCCTTTCCAAAAACTGATCCCTCCTTGCAGCATGCCCAAAGTATGTCAGATGAAGCTTCAAAATCCTTGCTTCCAAGGGACAGCTTGGTTTTGCTCTCTCCAAGAAGGAACTGTTTTTCTCTCTTAGCAGTACATCGTATAGTCAATACTCTTCTCCAGCATCACCACTTAAAGACATCACTCACTCATAGGAGGTTATAATTAGCTTAAATCACTAGACAAATGGGATTTTTTTTTTAAACTTCTAAGCCTCTATATATTCCTTCTCTTTTCTATTTGTTCCTCTGTCCTTCCATTCCTTTCAGAACCCATTATCAGTCTTATTGCTTCTGTCTTTTTTGCTCTGTCTTGCTTTCCCCAATGTTCCTGTCTCTGTAACCCAACATTCCTCTGCCACTTCATCTCTATTGTTTCCATTTACGCACTTCTCCACCCAACTGCTCATAACTCTCTTGTCTCTAGTGTCTCTGTCTTTCCCGTTAGAAGTCTCATTTTGAGTTCCTGCTTCATTTTCTTTGTCCATAGGATGACTTTTTTCTTCCTCTTCCTGCTCATTTCTCAAGCTGGTTTTGACAGAAAATGAGCGTCCTTTGGATCCTTGACTTACATTTTTATTTTTCCACGAAAATGATGCTTCACTCATCTGAACACTATTCTTTAGGTCCTTTATTTTAGACCCATTCAGGGAGAATTCCAAATTCCAGGGTCTACTATGTCTCATAGATTCCAGTTGCTTTTTTAAATCCTTCAGATTCTGCGTTATTGTGGAAGAAATTTTGAAGCATAACTTTAGCTCCAAGATGGAAGCAGTCTCCCCATTTTTCAGTATTTCCAACAAGAACCGTACATCAAGAGTCCTATCGTCACTCTTTGTATCCAGAAGCCTCTTCAATTCGCTGTGGGACTCCTGGCCCAGCTGATTGTGCTCCTCTTTCACCAAGTAGGAAATGGCATGAAAAAATTCCTGGAAGCTAATATGGCGGAAGCTGTAGAACCTTTTAACGGCAAATCCCTCGTGGTAGTCAATGCTGCTCAGGAAATCAGCAAGCCAGGGTCCATCTAAATTGTGCTTCCTGAGGTCAGCTTCTTCAAACAGAAACTGCTGCTTCTGGATCCCCTCGGTCGCCAAAGTGCACAGACCAGTCAGGGCACTGTACCGGGGAAGGTTCAAGCCATCCCCATCGTCATTAGGTGGCAAGAAGGTGGAGACATAAGCCATGTAAATGTCAGTGCTATTCCTAAAGATGTTTGATATTTCCCTACCTCTCTCCATCTGTCTTTTTATCCAGGAACACACCATCCAGCAAATACCTGGAACTTGGCATTCTTTATGAAGAACTTTATATCTTTGTACAATGTCAAAGGCATTTCTGGCTTGCTCCTCATCTGTGAAATAGAAGCTGAAATACCGTCTCTTCTCCTCCTCAGAGAAGCCTAAAATATGGACATAACGCGGTTTTTTCAACAAGCCCCTCAGATTCTGCAAAGCCAGGGGCCGAATTGTGATGAAAAGAGAGGACTTGCAAAGTATTGTTCTTTTAATTAGAAGATGCAGCTCACATTCTTTGGAACTCAAACTTGACTTCATCAACTGCTCAGCAAAGGACTTCTGCAGCTCATCAAAGCCATCCAAGATGAATAGGAGACGTTCTGGATGTCTCAGAATCTCTTCAACAGGTGCTTGATTGTCCCCACAACACCAGCAGAGAAGCTGCTCCAGTTTGCACCCTCGCAGCAAAACCACTTCCCTGCAGCTCACGTAAAAGACATAATCAAACCGGCCCATGAAGAGAGTGCCCCTGGCCCAGTCCAGTACCATTTTTCTTGCCAGTGTTGTTTTACCTGTGCCAGCAAGACCCTGTAGCACCACTGTGGATGTGTGATGCCTTTCCCCGGAGCCAAACAGATCCTCCACTAACACCAGTTCCTGCTCCAGAGTCGGGCAGGTGGATACTTCTGGGCTTCCTGAGCTGGATCCACTCACCAGGAGCAGGTGATTGTAACTGCCGTTGATGCCCACTTCTTGTTTCTCCTCAAGGCAGCGCACGTGCTCTCGGTATTTTTCTCTGTAATCTAAGCCAGACAAGTGGGTCATTAAATGAGAGATAAAAAATACAAAGGTTGTTCAAAATCTGGCTTCACCCCCCATGCTCTCTAGGTTGTATTGCCCTAATGGTCATAGTTCTGGCTCCATGGGATAAGACCAATTTGCATGTGTATTGCACATGTAATGTATACATCCAATGAGTGTGCAAGGGTGTATTTTGTGTATGTAAATACTTGTGAAATTTGAGTGAATTCTTTTTTTTTTTTAGTGAATTCTTACATCCATGTGTTTGTAGGTGTATATTTAGAGAGTGCATGTGTTCTGTGTAGGAAGAATGTATGAGTGTATATCTATATGAGTTTTTATAAGAGCATGTATGTTGTGAAAGTTTTTGTGTGTAAGAACGTGTCACTAAATGTGTGTAATATCTCTATTAGAAGACATGAAGCCCAAGAGAAGGGATAGAAATGGAAGCTAGAGAACAGCGTGATAATAAAGATAAACCAGGTTCTAATACAGATGTGAGTGAAGCCTGCACATCACTGCTTCCACTGCTGGTGAGCTGGCCTCCACTCCAGGCCTAGAAGCCAGGGACCACAGGCTTCTCCCCCTAAAAACAGCCTGCCACCTTTTCAGCTGAGCTTGCTCTCCCAGCCCCTGCACAGGGGTCCATGAGTCACAGGCCTCCTAAGGAAGTCCACAGGACACTGCTGCCACTGCTTGTGAACCTACCCTCTGACCCCAGAGCCTAGGCCAGAAGCACGCAGGCCACAGGATTCTCAGCCTAAAGACAGTCTGCACTAGGGGAGCTGACTGACCTGTGATGCTCCTCCCCAAATAAAGGCCCTTTCCACAATGCAAAAAAAAAAAAAAAGACAGTCTGCTGCCTTTGTTCCTGAGACTCCATTTCCTGCTCTGGTCCAAGAGTAAAACAATGGTAAATCTCCCACCAAAACCTGCCGGCCGCTGCTGCTGCAGTTGAGACCAAGAAAACTGCACTCAGAAGCTACCTCATGGATACCACGAAGAAACTCACCTATCAAGGAAATGACTAGGAAAGACAAAACAAGCCTTCTCTTTAAAAAACAGACCAAATCGGGAGCCTAATGAATACCCGGGAGACAGGCAGGCAGAAGGAAAACATTTTTATGGAGTTCCAAGATTTGATACTGAAGAAATGACAAATTATGCAAGAAAGAAATGAAACCATTAGTAAGATATGCAAGAATTTTTAAAAATCAATACAAAAACCACAATGAGATACCATCTCACCATAGTAGCATGGCAATGTCTAATAGGACAACAAGAAATAAATGTTGGAGAGGATGTTGAGAGATTGGAACTCTCACACACTATTGGTGGGATTATAAATTGGTACAACCACTCTGGTACGCAGTTTGATAATTCCTCAAAGAGCTGAACATAGAAACTCCATATTGACCCAGCTATTACACTGCTAGGAATATACCCCCCACGAAATTAGAACTGAGACACAAATGGAGATTTGTGGACCAATGTTAATAGCAGCATTAGTCACAATCACAAGAGCATGGAAACAGCTCCTATGTCCAACTACAACTGAACTGATTGAGAAATTGTGGTATATTTACATGATGGAATACTGTGCAGCACTCAAGAGATTTTTTTAAAATGCTATATAATGCAGGAGAGATTAGACAGCATTAGGCTGAGTGAACTAACTCAGTCTCATAATGACAAATATAAGACTATTATTGTAAAAATAGGAGGATAATCAGTAAAAGGTATATGGGGGCTCAGTGAGAGCAGAAGGGTAAGGATGGGTAGGGGGGACATCACAGGGTCACACAATGTGGTGGGTGGAGAAAAGGGGTAAAGGAAATGGGAAAGATCCGGTGGGGACCTAAAAAGACAGGGCATAGTTCAATAGTGATTAATTTTATAAAACACAATGTAAGGGAATGAGTGTATGAAACATAATATCAATAAAAGAAAGTATGAAACTCACACACAAAATCATGACTATGTACATGAATGAAACCCAATGTATATGAATAATTATATGCACACTCATAAAAATACAGAGGTAGAAATAAAAAAAGATAATAGCTCATTTTATAAGAGAGATATTTATGGAAGGGAAAAAACTAAGGAAATTGCAACACAGAGCAAGACTGAAAAATCTAGATCAATTGTTAGAGTGCCTGAATTTTCTGAACAAATAAAAAGAATTTGAAGTTCTTTTAAAAAAATCAATACAAGACAGAAGATACAACCATCACTGTGCTAGAAACAAGAGAAAAACATGAAGCTCAAATCAGAATAATAATATTGAAGAAATATCAAACATGTTAGAGGGACAAAAAAGCAGGATAGAAGAGATAGAACAGAGACTCAGTGAAATTGAAGAACCTTAATGAGAACTAACTAGAAAAATTAAAAAATACAAAGGAAAATTAAGAAAATGCAAGAATCACGTGGAATGTCATTAAACAAAACAACATATGCACGATTGGGACTGCAGAATAGGGGATACAGGAAGGGAAAGCACTAAGAAAATTGTGGAAGAGATATTAGAAGAAAATTTTCCAGGAATCCATGAAAAATGAGTGAAGAAGCTCTATAAAGACCAAACACACTAGACCCCAAAAGAAAAACATTAAGACATATCATAGTTAAACTCTCCAAAATCAAAGACAAGGATGGAATATTAAAAGTAGGGTGAGAAAAATAGTCACCTACAGAGGAGACTCAAAAGATAAAGCTCTCATTTCTCAGTAGAAACCACATGAGAGGGGGGAGGAAAATGGGATGGCATATACAGAAGGCTGAAAGGAAACAATTGCTAACAATTTCAAATCAAATATAAAGGAGAAATTAGATCATTTGCAGAAAAGTAGGAACTCAAGGAATTCATGAAAATAAGATCAACTCTACAAGAAACAATTGAGAAATTGGGGTACTTTACACAATGGAATACTATGCAGCACTAAGAACAATAATTTCATAAAATAGTATATAACATTTACTTAATTGCATTAGGTAAATCTGCTGTCAGGGATCTTTCCAGAGTACTGAGAAACAACTATGTCAGTCTAGAGACTAAGGGGAGCCTGAACCAGTCCATGATCTTCTCAATTACTCGCTATGCATTAGAAAGCTGGATAATGACTAAGGAGGATAGAAGAAGAATTGATGCCCTTGAGTTGTGCTGGAGAAGAGTGTTGGACATATCACAGATTGCCAAGAAAACAAATAGATCTGTCTTGGAGAAGGTGAAACTAGTTTCTCCTTGGAGGCTAGGATTTTGAAGCTCCAGGTCACATATTTGTGCACGTGGCCAGGAGACCACATGTGTTGGTTAATCCTTGGAGAAGGGCATCATGCTCAGAAGGATGGACACAAAGACCCCAGATGAGATAGATGGATACAGTAACTAGGACAATGGGGGTAGGTGTATCAGAGTCAGTGAGACTGGCCCAGAACAGGGCAGGCGTCAGAGTTGTTGTACAGAGGGTCATTATGAGTTTCAGGCAACTTGCCAGCACATAACAACAACATAGAACATGAGAGAGTCTAGAGAGCATTATGCTGAGTGAAATAACTTTGTTACATAAGGGCAAATACTACATAAAGTCGCTACTGTAAAAATAAGAGGATAACTGAATAAGATAATTATAAATGTTAAAAGGGGGAAAGGGAGAATGACAGGCAGAAAAAGGGGAGGGTGAGAAAATCACCAGGATAGCAAATGTTAGTGGGTGAACAGGAAGTGAAAGAACAGGAGAGATTCAATGGGGACTTGAAAACATGGGGTGATAATGGGTATAGATCAATAGTAATTAATTATATAAGATAATATATATATATATATATATATGAAAGATTGTCTAAAATATAATTTACACAAATAAAACACAATGTATATGAAAAATCATATGCAAACTAATAAAAAACGGAGGGGGAAAATGATATATAATATAAATGAATACTAGATAGTGTAGATTTAGAAAGTATGTAATAGCCAATTCTTGACTGGAAGTACTAAAAGGGAAAGTTTGCCGTGGGGATAAGCCTGTTAAAACCAGAATTTGGTAGTGAATACTGGGGCTTAGTTTAGAAGAAAGATTACTTCCCACCCACTACTTGGAGAAGATTTGCATTTGAATGGATTTATAAATCCACCTTGGACTTTTGATTGAAGAAGTTTGAATTTGAAAGAAAGAAAGAGCAGGAAGAAAGAGAGGGGGAAAGGAGAGAATTTGACTTTTTAAAACTGGATGTTTGACTTTTGAGGCAGGATAAAGTTGGTGCCAAGGAGAGCCCCCTTCCAAGACTTGAAGTTGATGGGAGCTGACAGGTAGGCTCACTCATAGTGATCACCTGGATCCACTGGAGTGGAAATAGGAGTCATGCAGCAATGAAGAGATAAGCTGAGCTTGGACATATTCCTTCAGAACCGTCCACCTAGTATGCATAGATGTGTGAATAAGAGAAAAAGGGCTGCTGGCTTGAGGAGCAGGGAGTCGTGAGGAGTCCTGACTTGTTGAAGTGACTCCACGGGCGGGAGGGGCAAGGGGGCCTGGGTGATGTGGCTAAGACTGCGTAAAGGGACCAGCTGGTCTGCAATGCAGGGAGAAGTGCGGACTTTCAAGTTGGCAGCTCTTGTCGGTTTGGACCTTGCCACAGATAGCTGGGGATTAGTTGACCAGAAACCAACCAGATGAAGACAAGATGTTCCATGCTATGAACTAGCGATTGCTGTAAACTGATGGTTTGCTCTAACTGGACTTTGCTTGTGGGTGTAAATGCTCACGGTTTCCAAACTGAATAGAAGATTCTTCAGCAAAAGGGACATGCTTGTTCGCTCAGAGCACTGGTTTGATAGGGATGGGGAAGTCAGACATTGTCTATCTAAGATGGGACATTAAGGCATTAGGCATGAAAGAGCTGGCTGACATGTTTTCACAAATATTACTAGTAAAATGATTTTCAGGGTAAAGTTAATTTTACAAATACGACAGTTAATGGCTCAAAAAGCCAGAGTTTAGACTGTGGTGTCAAAGGTTTATTGTTCAAAATGGTTTTCCTAGTGATTGAGTTTGATTTTTGCACATGGATGGACCAGGACAAGCGAATGGTGTGTGTGTTTGTTCACAAGAGGATTGGCTATTTTTGCCATTAAATTGAAAAGATTCAGCAGACGAAATTAAGAATCTCACCACCAGCAGAGAAGAAGCAGAGAATGCACAATGTACTTCCTTTGGGGCCAAACCTTCCTGCACCATTCAAACCAGGGCCTGCAGGAGCAGCTGCTACAGCAGAGAACCAGAGATCTGATGGGAGACAGAGCTGACCTTGGAACTACTACCTCACAGAACCAGCACTAGGATACTTCGGTCAAGTTTGTTTGAGGATTGGGTGGGAGACTCCATAATTGCAGCTTTGTAACACTGTCTTGAAGCCATGAAGCTGAAGGCTGAGGTGCCTATGAGCACATTTCAGAAATTGTCCTGACAGAGCACTTGTATCCTGCTGCAAACCTACATTATAGCCTTTGAGTTTCCCTAGTAAGCTCCATAATTTTGGGAGGAGGGGAAGAGTTGTAACAGTAAGGACAGTGAGAACTCCAGAAGGGCCAGGTACAAGGCCAGAAGCCATAGGCTTAAAATTTCAGGAGGTAATCCCAGAGATGAACGGTTCAAATCCACCAGATGCTTTGCTGGAGAAGGAGGAACAGTCTCCTCCTGTACCAGTCAAATCTGATTTGACGGCACACACACACACACACAAATAATAATAATTTTTTAAAAAAAGAATAAAAATAAATACATACATACATACTTCAGGAGGTGAAGGGAGTCTGTCCTTAGGTAGCTGAGAGGATCCCGATGTGATAGGACCTGAGAAAAACCTATTCTAAAGGTCAGAGGGAGCTTCTCTTAAGGAGACCAAGAGGAACCTGTCCTTGGGGGCTGAGAAGAAACCTGGACAAAAGAAACTGAAAGCTGTGCTGAAAGCTCCCTGTCAGGGAGGCTTTGCCTGTGTGCTTCCTGATTATGATCATAAGGTGTAGTAAGGTGTAGTGTGCAATCTACAACATAAAGTTAAAACCAATTTTTTTTTAAAAAAGAAAGATTCCCTCCCTCCTCCTCCGGCTTTGGAGAAAATGTTGAATCTATTGAACCCTTCTGTTTCTGTATATAGCTCTTAAGAAGAAAGAAGGGCTATGCCCAGTTATCAATAGATCCCCTAGTCCTCTACCAGAAGGGATGATAGGCCATTTAGGCTCCATGCCTCCCTATTTTGTAGGGTGTTATGTATACGGCCTTTACGTATGTCACCCAAGATTTTCAAGCCCCTTTTTCAATATTACCCCTGTCTCTAACATTACAACCAAAGGTGAGGGGGGAAAGCATTATAACCGTTAGATACTATAGTCCTTCTGTACAAAAGCTCATGCTCTCCATCCAACAGTTATCAGAAACCTTGGCTGAGGATCGCCTAGGACCTTGGAGTATTAGGCTTTCCCCAGGCAAGGGCAGAGAGGGAGAAGAGGGGGAAAGGCATAAATTTGGAGGAGGAAGGAGGCACACATTCTAGAGGATCTCTTGAAATGCCATGAAAGAGATCCTGATGACATCCTAAATCCTTCTTTCCTCCGCTGTACTCACCATTCAGACAAACAAGGCTGAGCTGGCCCACGAGTTCCAACAGATTCATCTTTTTCAAACTCTCAAGCACAATTTTCACGGCCTCATATGCTCCATATATTTGAATGAGTCGAGAGGCCAGTTCCACGCGTTTCAGGTCTTGCAGCTCTCCTCGAGTCAGCTGCTGATGACCGTCCCTTGGGGTCATGATCCTCAAGTGGAACTTTAAGGTCTTGAAGCTTTCGTCCTCAAGGTCGTTCAAGGCAAACAGCAATGTCTCCTCGGGGCCACGAGACAGAGTCATGGTGAGGAGGATGTGGAGTGGTAGTCAGAGCAGTAACCTGGAGAAGAGAGTGGAAGAGAAGCTCCTGCTGAAACAAGAACAATCTGGAGGCACCTCAGTCGCTCTATGTTTTGGTAATTGGAAAACTGTTGCACAGAGACTATCATCAAAGAGGTATAATAGAGCCCCCCAAAAAATGAGCATAGGTGGTTCCTTGCCATTTCCTCTGTGCATCTTTGCCATATGACATGTGTGACTGAATAGGTTTATTAGGTAGGGAGATGTGGAGGTGTGTTGATCTCTCTCCATCCCTCTCTCCATTCTTTCTCTCTTACGCACACATTATTAGGCCCTGTCTGCCTCTTTAAACATTTTGGGTTCAAAAATATATTTTTTCACTTTTTAGGAGCAAGCCTGCCCCTGGGTATCTGGCCCTATGCAGACCAGGAACATATTTGCTAGGAGTGTTGTGACATGACAAGTATATAAAAAACTATACTCATCAGACCATCTTCACCCATCAGCATCACTGTCTCTGTCATACCTAGGATTTCAGAGTTGAGCATGTTCTAACTCAGCAGAGACACTCAAGTCATAACAAGAACAGTCTTTGAGTAGATAGATAGCAGTCTTTGAGTGTTTACTTTATGCTAAATGCTTTATACAGATTCATTTCTTTTTTGATCATCTCAGAAACCTCAGCAGCTATTACTTCATGTAAGAAACTGGAGACTCCACATTGAGGAAATCTGCTGTCAGGGACATCTCCTAAGTGCTGAAGAACAATGATGTTAGTCTAGAGACCAACGTACACCTGATTCAGGTCATGATCTTCACAATTACTTGGTATGCATCAGAGAGCTGGGTAATGACTAAGGATGAAAGAAGTCAATGCCTTTGAGTGATGGTGTTGGAGAAGAGTATTGAACACACCGTGGACTTGTCAAGAGAACAAACAGGTATATATTGGAGAGGGTAAAACTAGGTTGTTCATTGGAGGCAAGAATTTTTACCTCACATGCTTTGGGCATATAGCCAGGAAGGAGCAGTCCTCAGAGAAGGACATTATCATAATTGGAAGAATGGAGGGACAGCATAGGAGAGGAAGACCCCAGATGAGATATATTAACACAGTAATTGAGGTTGTTGTTTTTGTGTACCGTTGAGTCAGAACTAACCCATAGTTGACCCTTCGGCGGGTTTTCAGAGGCAGTTAATCAAATGGGAGGAGATTGCCTATCCTGCAGCTGGTCTCCTCAAACCACATGCCTTCGGGATTTCAGGGCAGCTTCTTGCCACTAAGCCACAGGAGCTCCCTAGGAATTGGGGTAATTGGGGTAGGTATGTCAGACACAGCAAGACTGGCTCAAGATAGAGCAGGATTCACAGCTTTTGCTTTGAGTTGCAGGTGAGTCAATAGCCCATAACAACAACAATAGCAACCTCCTCAGAAATTGGGTACTCTGAGAGAAATAGATAGCCCAGTGAGCATAGCGCATTATTTAAACTGTGGTCCAAAGCCTGGAGACACACAGCGGCAAAAAGACAAAGATCTGAAAAGCAGGTAGCCTCTCTAAAGGAAGTGGTGGTGTTATATGCCATCAGGTTGTAACTGACCTATAGCTCACCCTGCAGTAGCCTCTGGCTAAAGATTATCAGAAACTGAGGCATTTGTAGATGCTGAAGTACCAAGGAAAAAGAGAGTAGAATCTTGAGTCCTTAAAACATGGAATTAAAATGTTGCTGGGACAGCTCTCTTCAGAAGAAAGGAAGCAACAATTCATACAAAGGTTTTGTGGTTATTATTAGATACTATTGAGTGAGTTCTGACACAAAGAGTCCCTCCATTCAACAGAATGAAACTTGGCGCAATCCTGTGCCATCCCCATAATCTCTGCTCAGAGAATAATCGAGTTACACCTGTGAGTTGACCTGTGAATAGACTCTACAGTCTGAAGTTATGGTCGCACATCAGTGGAGGAGCCACTTCAAGAGCATAATGTCTGAGAGTGATTAAAAGGCTAGTTGGGGATGAGAAAGCTTGCTGAAATTATAATGGAAATGTTTCAACTGGACATCAGCAGAAGAGAGAAAAGTTGAGAGCAAAGACACAGGGGACTTTGACTCCAAATCATAGGACAGTTAGAAAAGCAAGTTCCTTGGGCCATTAGCAATTCACAGCAAAGGCTCAGCTATGTGAGCAGATCGCTGTTGTCTGTTCAGCTAATTCAGGAAGGAGGAATAAATGGTACCAGTGGCTGCCAAGATCTCTGTTCAGTTGTAGGGAGCCAAAGAAGAGATGGACGTGACTCAGCTCACTCATTCCAGATGCCTAGCAACCAGATTCCCGAGACTGAGATGGAACATGTTTCTTGGTTTCTAATGAGATAGTTCCGCAGACCAAGACAGGGTCTCCTTAGAATCAAATCTGCAGAATCACTTCTTTTTGAGGTTTCTGGCATTAGAAGGATGGCTTTAATCACTCAGACACTGATTCTTTGTATCCTATCTAGTGGTGTAGGGCTGAAACACATGAAAAATGTCCTAAACTGCTGCAAAGCAGAAAACACCCACACACACACATTCTCTATCATCAGAAATAGCAATTGCTCACCAGAGGAGAACTTGACCTCATTCCTCCATATGTTTACCATGAGAAATAAAGGAGGGGTCAAATATTCTGACATCAAGACAAGTAGAGCTCAACAGACGCACAACAAATCCTTCTCGGAAACCCCTCATTCCCTCTGTACTTGCAGTCCAGACTGGAGCAATTTGCCTGGAGGCAAATGAATGCTGAGGGAAAAGGGCCATATTTTACCAACAAACTATTTCTTTAAGCTGTAGAAATTACTGGAGGATATATCTTCTACCAAAACAAAAAAGCAGGATGACACAAAATTCATTAAATAGAAATCTAAACAAAGAGAAAAATAATCTTAGAAGGTTGTTCAGCTGGTCTGGAGATTGAGAGCTATGAAGGCTGAGGGCAGGGTGGGGCAGGGGTGGGGGCGGGGGAATGCTAAAACAACTGATATCATTGACTTGAATTTTTTCCCTATTGGAAAAATGCAGGGGAAACTAACAATAGCTACCAACAAAGGAAAAACAAAATCAAATTCATTGTCATCAAGTTGTAACTGACCCAGAGCTGATCCTCCAAAAGTTGTAAATGGCACAAAAGGAAATTACCCATTTTTCTCCTGCAAGTACCAAAAAAGCTTAAAAAAGCTAAAAACACAACTAAATTAAGGACTTACTAACTTAAGGAACAGCAAAACAAAAGAATAAGAACATAACAGTAAACTACAACCCTCAGATGTGAAGCTAATCTACATAGGAGTAATGATACAACTACTTTTATTTTATGACGTAAATATTTTAATATGATTATCTTTAAAAAAATGAAGGTGGAAAAGCTAAATGCTCATAGTTTGGAAAAGCAGTCCTTAGATAACGCCTAATACAGATTCAACAGTAGATACCTGTACACATATACTGTTTAGTAGTATCACAGTGGTCTAAGAAACAGAATCCACAGGAAATTTCTGTCCTCAAAAGAGAGAATGAGTGGGGGGCAAATGGAGCAGGGAACTACTGTGTTTATACAAAAGCTTTTTACTACTAATTTACTTCAAATTATTATACTTTTATTATAAAATAAAATTTTAAAAGAGAGATTCTAGACATGCTGGCAATATATATAGACAAATCTGGTAAAAAGCTTAACAGAAGATTGTAGAGAGGGATATAGGAAATATGGGGTCAAGAGAAAATTTTCTTTATTTTGAAACTGAAAGAAATGGAGCATATGTGAAAACTGAGGAAAGATATTCAATAAAGTTGACAGATTAGAGAGTATGGATTGGAACAGTATTCAATGTAAAGGTGAAAGAATAGACTTTAGTGGGAAAAAGAAGTAAACTTTCTCTACAGAGAAAGACAAGTCTGTGATTTTGCTGGAAGAAGCTGAGGGTGACTGGTGACTTTTCTGTTCTTCATTGAGTCTAAGTAAGAGTTTCCTAATAGTGAGAAGGCAAGGATAGAGGGGAGAAGCTATGAAACAGCTGTTCAGAGGCCTCCCTGCTGTACCATCCTCGACCTCCAAGACCTCCTTCACCTACTTGTCAGCAGGTATTCCCAGAGTCCAGGAGAACAAGTAGGAACAGGAACTGGTCTTTCCTTTTGGCCTTATTCAAGTTGAGACTGGAAACTGTAATGAAACAGCAACTAATCAAGCCTAAAAGATTAGAAGAGAAAATATAATAAAGATACATAAACAGAGTGGCAAAAGGACAAAGAGACCACTTACTTGAAGCTCTCAGGTCTGCTTTCCCTGGAAGGTTCCAGGTCCAGAGATCACTCTGTACCACACCTGAGGGAAATAAAACTGAGCTGCACGAGAACTGGTATTAATTGGAGGGTGGAGGCAGAGCAAGAAATGAAGCCTCCCTTCTCATACACCTCAGCCTGGCTGTGGTCAGAACTGGCACGGGAGTAACTGAGTCCCCAAAAGAGAAGTGGGTGCAAGAGACGTAGTGACTAAACGATGGAAACAGAGATTAAGAGTCAGAGGAGCAATAAACATAGAGAAGTGAGCAGAAAAACAGAAAGAGATGAAGTTAACTGTATATATGAAAAGCACTGTGTGTAATTCACTTAGTGATTATGTTACGCTCACCAAGTTCATTCTACACACAGAGTATTTCCTAAGAGAAAACTCTCAAGAAACAAGGATAATCAAAAAGGCTAACCCCTGCCAGTCTGTGTCTTGGTTCACCCTAAAGGTGTAGGCTCTTGCTGGTGTGCAGATTGGGATTTCAAACATTTTCAGATGAGCACTTCACTTCTACATTTTTTTCATAATTTGGCAATGACAGGGTTGAGAGGAAGGTCGAGGGTACTGGGACTGGCAGCAACGAGTCCACCTGGCTGCCGAGGTGGACTAGGCCCTGCCCTGGTGTTACAGCCCACCCAGACCTCTCTCTCCACCCCTGTGATTGTAGTTATTTAGACCATTT